CCAGCCTCAACCACGTTCTGCCTCCAACTGTTCTAGCCTCCAACTCATACTTTCCTATATATCCCCTCGTATCCGTAATCGTATTCGGTTCTACATAGTTATGTTCAATCCGAATATCTCGCCTTCCGATTACTACGCAGTTGTCTCGTACCAGTCTTATTAGACTTGTTATCAGTCCGATTAATAGAACACCTGCACTGTTACGTCAGCCAAGTCATGTCAAAGTTGACAGCGGCTTGTCGTATCCTTCCCAAAATACGCCGTGGCTTTATGATCGTTATCAGTTGCATCAGACTGTAATACGTTGTTAACCATAGTATGGTAACTACCCTAGATACATATATATATATATATATATATATGTGTGTGTGTGTGTGTGTGTGTGTGTATGTTTGTGTGAGTGTGTTTTCTGTCAAAACCTTCAAGTTTTATCCATTACTAGCCATCGGTACCATTCCTCCATTCCTAAAAATGACGTCACATGCCACATGTTTAAACTACGGAATGAACACACCACTAAGGTCATCATCTTCAAATTTTAGAATATGAAGAAATGAACTATTTCATTTAAATTTGAATATGTATGCTATGCTATGAAACGTATACGTTTTCTCGGCCAAAACTAATACAAATTAGTTTTTAAAAATAATATAAATACCATTGAACAGCCGGGTTTTTAACAGAATCATTTTTAGTCTGTTAATCGGTGTGTGCATTGAATATGGTGTTGTGTTGACTACTATTGTATATAATTTGGTTTTAATTTTTCCAATAGGTATTGGTAGCCTATTTTATTTAAAATGTTTAAGTTTTTTAGATATTTTGTTATTTCTTAGCTTTGTCACTAATATCGTTCAACGTGTAGTAAAGCGCATTGCGTTTTTGAGAAATAACTAATTATACATTATGTTTTCCAAACAAGTATGGCATTAAAAATATATGGGCATATAAATCACATGAAACGGGTACCCATAGCTACTAAGCCTACACTTAAAAAAAACAAAAAACTACAAGTTCCCAATTAGATATTTCATTAAGCTTATTTATTTGACCACAGCATATTTAGGGGTTGTATTGTCAACGCTGTAACCACATTATTTCCTATCCACATCCTGAATAGGGTAAAGGACCCACAAATAACTCGAGACCGGTGACCGTAGTCCAAAGTTTTTCGATGGTATATTACAACTTACTCGGTAAGTCAAGTTTACACGAGGGTCTTGGAGGCACATGAATTATCTTAATCAAGACCGTGCCTAATTAACTTCTAATGAAGCAGCTGTCATAATTCAAATGCTTTGCTCGCAAAAGAGGCATTCTTGCGCGTCGATTTGACATTGTCACAAGTAATGAATCACTCCGTGTGACTTGAGTTTAAAATACTTTGTGTATGGGAGTGTGACTTGAGTTTAAAATACTTTGTGTGCGGGAGTGTGACTTGAGTTTAAAATACTTTGTGGGCGGGAGTGTGACTTGAGTTTAAAATACTTTGTGTGCGGGAATGTGACTTGGGTTTTAAATACTTTGTGTGTGGGAAGTTGTCTCGAGAGTCTGATGATATTGTGGTGGCTGTGGGGGAAATGTGGTAAGTTGTATGTTGGATGTCAAACGATGTGTTAAGTTGTTGGATATTGGAGGTCTGATAAAAACAATGAGGAATTTGTTGGATGTTAAACGACGATTAAGTTGTTGGATGTTAGATTGATGATGAGGAAGTTGTTGATGTTGGATGTTAGTTGTCTGATAGTGTAACAGTCAAATGTAAGGTGAATGCATGTTTCGAGTATGTTTCATAAAAAGGCGATATAAATCTAAAATATAGTGTGGGTGTGCGCATGCGCTAAAACAAGGAAGCAAGGGGGTAGAGAGCGGGAAGATAATGGCGATGTTTTGGCAGTGAAGTCGTTGTGTCAATGAACCAATAAAATCATGAAAAATTTCCTGAATTTTGTTTAATGTTATAAATCAGACTATAATATGTAATAACAAAGGAGGAGAGAGGAGAGCGGTTGGTATTTGTTTTTTTGAGTTTGTGCCATGATTGGCAGCAGAAAAGGCCGTGACAGATAGAATCAATGAGGAAATTGTTGGATGTTGGACAGTGGCGTAGCCAGGATCGTCTCAAGGGGGGGGGGGGGGGGTCCAATTTTTACCCGGTTACAAACTTTCGATTTGCACCCCCTCTAACTTTCGATTTGCACCCCCCCCCCCTCAAACTTTCGATTTTCACCCCCCCCCCTCAAACTTTCGATTTGCACCCCCCCCCCCCTCAAACTTTCGATTTGCACCCCCCCCTCATACTTTTTATATATACCGAGGGGTCTATGGGGGGGGGTTTGTGACCCCCCCCCCTAACCCCCCCTGCCTACGCCACTGATGTTGGATGTCTGATTGTAATGTGGAATAAGTTGTTGGATGTGGAATCAATGTTTTGTGAATTGTTGTAAATAGCATAGCAGGTATAAGTGCTGCCGTGATGAGGAAGTTCCCTGTAAAGCCCTAGCTATTGAGGTAGAGCCATGGAATTTATTGACGTGGTTCGTTAATGTAAAGCGCTCTGACATCTCCTGCTTTGACCATAGGCGGTTTATGCACAGAGGAGCTTGGTTGACCGTACTTTGACCACAACACTACATGACCAGAGCGGTACTTTGACCACAGCGGTATTTGACCACAGCGGTACTTTACTTGACCACAACACTACATGACCACAGCGGTACTTGACCACAGCCGTACTTTGACCACAACACTACAAGACCACAGCGGTACTTGACCACAGCCGTACTTTGACCACAACACTACAAGACCACAGCGGTACTTGACCACAGCCGTACTTGACTACAGCGGTACTTTACTTGACCACAGCGGTACTTGACCACAGCGGTACTTGACCACAGCGGTACTTGACCACAGCGGTACTTGACCACAGCGGTACTTGACCACAGCGGTACTTTACTTCACCGTAACACTACATGACCACAGCCGGTACTTGACCATAACACTACATGACCACAGCGGTACTTTACTTCACCATAACACTACATGACCACAGCGGTACTTGACCACAGCGGTACTTGACCACAGCGGTACTTTACTTCACCATAACACTACATGACCACAGCGGTACTTGACCACAGCGGTACTTTACTTGACCACAGCGGTACTTGACCACAGCGGTACTTGACCACAGCGGTACTTGACCACAGCGGTACTTGACCACAGCGGTACTTTACTTGACCACAGCGGTACTTGACCACAGCCGTACTTTGACCACAACACTACATGACCACAGCGGTACTTGACCACAGCGGTACTTTACTTGACCACAGCGGTACTTGACCACAGCCGTACTTTGACCACAACACTACATGACCACAGCGGTACTTGACCACAGCCGTACTTTGACCACAACACTACATGACCACATCGGTACTTGACCACAGCGTTACTTGACCACAGCGGTACTTGACCACAGCGGTACTTTAACCACAGCGGTACTTGACCACAGCGGTACTTTACTTGACCACAGCGGTACTTTACTTGACCACAGCGGTACTTGACCACAGCGGTACTTTACTTGACCACAGCGGTACTTTAACCACAGCGGTACTTGACCACAGCGGTACTTGACCACAGCGGTACTTGACCACAGCGGTACTTGACCACAGCGGTACTTGACCACAGCGGTACTTTACTTGACCATAACACTACATGACCACAGCGGTACTTGACCACAGCGGTACTTTACTTGACCACAGTAGTACTGACCACAGCGGTACTTGACCACAGCGGTACTTGACCATAGCGGTACTTAACCACAGCGGTACTTGACCACAGCGGTACTTTACTTGACCACAGCGGTACTTAACCACAGCGGTACTTGACCACATCGGTACTTGACCACAGCGGTACTTTAACCACAGCGGTACTTGACCACAGCGGTACTTTACTTGACCACAGCGGTACTTTACTTGACCACAGCGGTACTTTACTTGACCACAGCGGTACTTTAACCACAGCGGTACTTGACCACAGCGGTACTTGACCACAGTAGTACTGACCACAGCGGTACTTGACCACAGCGGTACTTGACCACAGCGGTACTTGACCACAGCGGTACTTGACCACAGCGGTACTTGACCACAGCGGTACTTGACCATAGCGGTACTTAACCACAGCGGTACTTGACCACAGCGGTACTTGACCACAGCGGTACTTTACTTGACCACAGCGGTACTTTACTTGACCACAGCGGTACTTGACCACAGCGGTACTTGACCACAGCGGTACTTGACCACAGCGGTACTTGACCACAGCGGTACTTGACCACAGCGGTACTTGACCACAGCGGTACTTGACCACAGCGGTACTTTACTTGACCATAACACTACATGACCACAGCGGTACTTGACCACAGCGGTACTTTACTTGACCACAGTAGTACTGACCACAGCGGTACTTGACCACAGCGGTACTTGACCACAGCGGTACTTGACCATAGCGGTACTTAACCACAGCGGTACTTGACCACAGCGGTACTTGACCACAGCGGTACTTGACCACAGCGGTACTTTACTTCACCATAGCGGTACTTAACCACAGCGGTACTTGACCACATCGGTACTTGACCACAGCGGTACTTGACCACAGCGGTACTTTACTTGACCACAGCGGTACTTAACCACAGCGGTACTTGACCACATCGGTACTTGACCACAGTAGTACTGACCACAGCGGTACTTGACCACAGCGGTACTTGACCACAGCGGTACTTTGATACCGTCGTATTAACGTATTAGAATATTCTCTGTTAGTATCTCGTAGTCGTATTTTTCTTATTTTTCTTGGAGTAAGTTAAAGACTTTTTAAAAATGTTGTTGTTATTGCTGTAATTATAGAAGAGCATTATTTAAGTTGAAGTGGGTGTTATATAGTTCTAAAAGACGAACTGTCAACAATTAAAAAGAAACGAATTAAAGAGAAACAAAGAAATACTTCAATAAGGCATAGGAATTTTTAATACATTTTTTTAAAGTTTAAAATTTTTGTTTAAAAACAAGAGCCATGTCCATAGTTTTACGCTTCAATTGTTCTAAAATTATTATTTTTTGTTCATTTTAACAGATATATCTAAAGCAGGAAAGATTTATATCTGTATATTTTAAAATCACACAGTGTAAATGTCCTTTTTTGGGGTTTTTTCTTCGAATTGCTGAATTGTAAGTTTCAAAATATCTGTTAGGATATCAGAGAAAAATTGAATGTTTTAACGTCATCCGCCTTGTTTTGGCTGGAACTAATCCACAAGCGACCGTTTGACCAGAAATTAATCCACAGGCGACCGTTTGACCAGGAATTAATCCACAGACGACCGTTTATGCAGGAACTAATCCAGCGACGACCGTTTGCCAGCTGATCTGAGCATTTCTTGTAAATTTGCCAGAAGTTCCATCTCCTCTTGTGCCCTCATGTTGTCGGCCAAAGCTTTTATGTTCCCATTGAAGGAGAACCGTTTCGACCTTTGACCCTGGACTTGGCCGGCCAACAGCCTTGACCTGTCCTCCAGCAGACGTAGATCGATGTCGTCTGGTAGACTTTTGGCCGACACGCCTTGTTGACCCAGAGAAAGGCAGAGACAGAAGGCGATCGTGGACAGGCAGATTGGTAGGACCAGGGACATTGTTCACTGAAAACAAAAAAATAAATTAAAATTCTCAAATTTAAAACAATTTTAATTATTTCTAAGTTTTAATTATCTTTAATTAATTAGCAACCGGTCATATAGTGTTGTCCAAATAAAATTTTATTTTAAATCAAGCGAAATTAATTTTAAAAATTATTAAAAGCTAATTAGTTCATGAAAAAAGTACCTAAATAATGTAACTATAACCTATAGTACAGTTCTTGATATATTTTTTTTTAATAGTATGGAAGACGCTTAAGTTTGAGCCACGCATCAAAACTAGGTAAAAATGTTAGACTATCATTACATACAAATACAAATGATTGTTTTCTAAAATACTTCAAGTTTTATTTTTAAAAAAAAGGACTCAGATTTAGTTTCAAGAATTTTTTAAGTGGAGTTGTAACGAGGTCTATGATCTCAGTGTAATAGTGATACAGGGATATAAATAGTGGTACTGAGGTATTCGAAATGTGTGTAGGGTAGTGGGATCATGCAGAGACTTGTATTGGAGAAGTGGTTGGGATTTGGGATCTGGGATTAGAGTAATGAGTTTACTTATAATACATTGGTGTAAATTTTGGGAACATGATTTTCTTATCTGGGGATGAAATTTACATCTGATGCTATTAAAAAAAACTATTTAAAGCATGGCGAATTTTAGAAAACCTGTGGAAATCATCGCTTATTTTAGAAACGTATCCAAATCATGGAGTATTTTAGAAAACTTTTTTTAATCATACAGTACTTTAGAAACCAAGTCAAATAATAGAGTATTTTAGAAACGTATTAAAATCATGGGTACTTTAGAAATCTAGTTAAATTATAAGATTTTATTTACTCGTATACGGAGTAAATAGGAAGTATTGTAATCGTGCAAAAAATCGAAATCGTGATTTTAAAAAATCTTGACGTTTTACACCTCCCTGAGTCGGAAAAACATAGAATTTGAAATCTTGTCCGTCTGTCTGTTTGTTTCTCTGTGTATACGTGAACACGACAACTTAAGCACCATTTCATACATATGTATTATATCAATTTTGTAGTTTTCAAATAACTTTTCAGACAGCGATTTCCGGTTACCGGAAGTAAGAGATCTTATTCTCTGGGTTCCGTCAAATTTTGAATGATTTCCGGTGCCCGGAAGTAGTTCTTTACGCTATTTCTGATTTCTCCAAAAATCATAAGGATTTATTTAACTATTTATTGTCCGTCACGTTCGGAAAGTTAAGCGCAGAATTTTGAACACTTTTACCGGACCGATTTATTTCAAACTTTTCACGTAGGTCCAGACTAGTGGACATATTGACATAAAATGTTACTTAATTAAATGATTAATTAACTTTTAATAAATTAATGTAGGTACTACTTTTGCGCACTATTATACACATATCGTTTGCTGTTCATTTGATGCTCAATTCTTTTTTTCTACGCGATTCTTTTCTATTTAAATTTTTAAATATTTAAAAATTGATAAGAAACATGTGTATAGCCTGATTGAACTGGAATTGCCCCCCCCCCCCCTTCTGTCAGTGTTATATATGAATATTCGAGAAAGTTTCATAAAGATCGCTCTCGCTTTATTTAAAAAAAAAAACTAAAATTATCGAGTATTTTAGAAACCGATTAAAAATGTGACATTTTTTATGCCCCGTCAGACTACCGCTTGTGACACCAAACTCCACGGCTAAAACCACGCGTCTAATGGCAGATCAAAACTTGCGGCCGGCCGGCAGGGAGCGGAAGAGATAAAAAAACGAAATTATAATTTTCATGAAATAGATGGGATGGATTGTCAGGAGCCATTGCAGTGTAAGACGATAGTCTGGATAATTTCTGTAATGCCGGGGTTATAAATATCATTGCTCATCTGTTTGTCAGAGAGAATTTTTGTCTGTCTTTTTGTAGGGAACGTCTAATAAGGCGTTCAGGTTACGTACTCTTATTTACATACATATTAGTAAGAAAATACGGATTGGATTAAAAATACTTTATTGCTTTAAGGGAAAAACTCTAGGAGATGTAACATTTTTTAAAAACTCCAGTTAAATCTTTTCACCAGGGTATTGTACAACCAAAGGGCTATTTTCGTCAGGGTAATATTAAGTAGGAGTTACATATGAAGAGTGAAAATAAACCCAACGGAATTAAAATGAATGAACTTCATGACCGAATTACTTAAACAATTAGTTATTTGAAAATCTTCAGGTTGTGTCTTGTGACCGGGTATTGTAAAACAACGGTGATATCATTGGGAGCGTGTTCTCTGATAGAACCAGTGTTTCTTCCAGGGGGGGCACTTGAAATTTTCGGGGGGGGGGGGGGGGGGGGGCGGACACTGTTAAAAGTATATATTTCTATATACATTTCATTTCGTTCGGGGGGGGGGGGGGCTCTAAGAGATGCCTGGGAGAAACTCTGAATAGAATGTACATTGATAAATAAATACAAAATCAATAAATAAAGATAGTATGGTATCTTATTATATATATATATATATATATATATATATATATATATATATATATATATATATATATATATATATATATATATATATATATATATATATATATATATATATATATATATATATGCATATTTATATCTATAATAATAGTTTCGCTGTCTGTCTATCTATCTATCTATGTATCTGACAAGAACGCTCTAGAGAAAACACAAGCAAATTAAAAAATTTAACAGTAAAGCGGAAGCGAAATATGACGTCATATTCAGCATAATATAGTAGAAAATAGTATCAAGCCGGAGTAATATGACGTCATTGATTCCCGAGTAAACATTGAATAAAAAGGCAATTTTGTCTAGTCTAAGGGGTTTGCGTGAAGAGTTTCTTTCATACAATTCTTCGGGTAGGGGCGAAGCCCCACCCCCGCGTAAGAACGTCTGACCCCCCCCCCCCCCCCAACTCAAAAGAAATTTCTTCATCGATACTCTATAATAAAATTACCGCCTAATTAATGTGTCTAATCTAAAAAGTGGTTTTCTTGCAATTTCTTTCAGCAATTCTTCGGGTAGTGGCTAAGCGCGACACCAGTGTTTCTTTCAGACTTTTTCATCCCCTCCTCCCAAGTAGAGTTGCCTGAAAGAAACTCGTTCGAGGGAGCGGTAGACTTTCTTCGGGGCTGACCCCCCCCCCCCCCCCCCCCCCCAAAGAGATGCCTGGAAGAAACTCTGGAAAGAACAAATATTAAAAATAGTTTTCATATACGCTAAACCCACATATTCACGTGTAATGTGTATAAAACAGAACCTTGAACATATGCTCTCCATAATGCATTAACCTCATTTGAAACAAGTCTACATTTTTCTATGTTAAGAAAAAACTGTTTGATCCTAACAAGATACCTTACCATCCCAATAGACGTGCTCTGTTGTATCCTAGCCTCGCTTTGGTTTTGGATTACGACTTGGATCAGTTACATTTTACAGTGCGACATTTTGAAATATTCATGTTGAGATGGAAACTGTACCCCCATCTATACAGCGACATACTTTTTTTTTCAGTGATGTTTTACATTTTTTCCCTTGTTCACCACGCCCCCCCCCCCCATCCCCCATTTGATTGTGTGTCAAGCTAAAGTGAAGAAAGCTAATGGATTTTATTTACTAATTCAATTCTGTTTTACGATTATAAATGTTCGACAGAAATGAAAAATAAAGGAATAAAAAAGTTGTAAGTGAAAGATGTTGGAAATTTTGATTAGGTTCAGGTGTGAAAAGATGAATGTTGGAAAAATATGTTCTGATGATTTACACAAGAAAACAATTATACAAGTTTTTCTATGTGAAGGTTTCAGGTATTATACGTTCTAGCTATGTGTGGGTTGGTTGAGTTTAAAGATGTGGGGGCTCGGTAGGGTTTAGAGTTGTAGGGCGTCACATAGGTTGAGCGATGTGTGTCGTCAAACATTTGGTGTTTTATTTTGGTATGGCATCAATGCCCCCCACCCCACCCCAAATTAAAGTCCCCCTCTCTACAGCATACGCGAGTCAATTGAGGTTACTCAGGCTAAGAACACAATTTCGCTAGCTTAGAAAGCCACTCTGTAGAATGCCAAAAAGGGTAAGTGTAGTACAGGCACCCTCTACCCAGCCCCCTCCCCTCCAGAAAAGGTCGATCAGTGAAATTTACCGTGGATTTTAACGCCCTAACAAGAATAGGTAATATTAAATAATATTGTGACCAAAATAAAGAGAGAATAGTTATGAAAAATAATTATCATTAAAAAAGTTTAAAAAACCCCACGTTTTCTGATTGAACTAAAAAGTAGAAAATAAATGCTATACATCACAATAATGCAAGCGATCACTCTACTATAAGCGATGAAAAACGTGGGGCGCCGAAGTAAAAGTTTTTTTATCGGTCATTGTTAATATAAGATGTAAAAGTTATATTACTATTGATTAGATAATACTATTGAGTTTTATTAGGGAGCTTGTAGAGAGTCAACAGTATTAGAAACTGTAAGAAAATCACGGCGCCCCACGTTTTTCATCGCTTATAGGAGAGTGATCGCTTGCATTATTGTGAGGTATAGCATTTATTTTCTACTTTTTAGTTCAATCAGAAAACGTGGGTTTTTAAAAACTTTTTTAATGATAATTATTTTCTACTTTTTAGTCTTTGTCTGCTTGTTTGCATTCAAATCTTGCTATCGATTTTATCTTCTCGCATTCACTTTTTTTTTGGGTAAACGAAGACAACTCGTAAAAAACACGTGCCTTTTCCAATCGACGTTTCTTCTGTGTTGCCGTTTCTTTCACCGTTGTTTGTACACAAACACCGCGTGACCACTACTCAGTAAGCCAAAAGAGGGAGAGTACCGAACCTTGTTTTCATCAAATTACAATTACTAGGTTATGTCCCTTTTTTGTACAAATATATAGGGGCCTAAAATGATCAATAAAAATTATCCATGGATCAATTTTGTAATAATAACAATTGAATATTCTATTGTCATCGGAAACAAAGCTTCCATGAA